TAATTTGGGGGGAATATTCTTTCAACTTTTTCCTTTAAGCGACAAAAAGAAACAACAATTTTTCTCACCAACAATAATCAGAAAAAACAGTATTTTCTTTTTGAGGTGAAAAATTTAGTGCTACTTCAAAAACAGTTTAATTGTTTCAAGTTCTTTAGAACAAAAAAGAAAAGACAATAACCTTCTCACTCACCACTCTATCCATCTCCCCCCCCTCAAAAAAAAAAATAAAAATTATCTTCATTTTCTGATGACAAATCGCGTTTTTGACAGTTGTCAAAAAAGAAAAAAAAAATAAATTTTTTTTTCACTTTTTTCTTTATTTTTTTAGATTCAAAAAAAAAATTTTTTTTTGTACTATTGCTTTATTGACACAAAAAAAACTACACTGCAATATTTTTCTTGCTTTTTTTTTTTTTGAAAGTAAAAATGAGCAATTTTATTGTCTAAAATATTTCTCCTTCTGTGTAAGCTTATCGTTTATCGTCTCATTGTACAGTAACTTTTTACTGCGGTCACTGTAATCGGTAGGTATAAAAGTCAGAATAAATAATAGAAAGAAAATTTTGCAAAAAAAGAAGAATACTACAGAACAAAACTCAAACAGTTAAAGATTTTTCTGTGTGTTTTAATGTTTGTCATCTAATTGACTGATCAACTGACTTACCAGCTATTAACCTGGCAAACAACTGAAAGAAAAAAAAAACCCGGGCAATTTTGTCAGTTTTAAGTATTATACAACTGTTCTCTAATACTACAGGAAAAAATTGAGAAAAAAAAGAGAATTTTATAAATAGCAAATAGAAAATGAAATAAAAATAGCACAAAAAAAAAAGATGGAAAAAAAGTGGAGTAATCACCATTTAACGACTGTCATTAACAAAAAGAAGAAATTCTTTTCTATTTTTATCATTCTTATCATTTTGTATAACAGGTAAATTGCCCATTTTATGTCCAAATTCCGCTGAAAAAAGAAAAAAAAACAATTACTCCTGTTAACATCGACTATTGAATAGACATTAAATTATACAACCACAATCACAACTACCTTCTAGTAATACTGTTTTCAAATTTTAGCACTGGAGCTAAATGACCTGCCTTTACTGAGAACATTCTTAGAAATATGCTTATTTCTTAAGTTTTTAAAACATCTAATACCCTTTATCATTCCTACGCCTTCGCATATACTAATGGTTAATTAGTAAACTGCAATGAATCTTAGTGATACCATTGATAATAAACCAAATGTAACAGGTCAGATTAAGATCTAATTACTACTTACAGAATTCCGTAAAGCATTGCAGCGACTTTCGATGCTTATGGTTCAAAGTTGAAAGGAAAAACTGTGCTTTTCTTGTGTAAAGTTTTTGTGAATCATCAGATGCTATGTTATGTAAACAGTAAAGTACAATTACACAGTACAAGTAACCTACTTTTGTCGTACAGCTGACGGAGTTGTAAGATTTGAGACTTTTGGAGTACCGTTTAATAGTGCCGAGTTGTTGTGTGCCACATCTTCTTGCGCTACCTTAACAGATACTACTTCTTCAAATTTCAACTTTTTAACCGTTAAAAACTACTAACAGATTATCTAACAATCTAGACATTATCCCAGAAATACTAAACGGATTAAAACCTACTGAACAATACTTCGGTGAATGTAAATAACTATAATACAAGAAAAATTATGTGATTTTAAACAACTCGACATCAATATTTATTTCACTTATTTCAACAAAAACAGTAGAATAAATTAGTTAATGCAACCTTTGAGTGTTTCACTGGTATTGACGAATGTGTCGGAATTTCATCATGTTTGGCTGGAGATGGTGGAGGTGAAATTGAACCGGCCGCTTCAGCAGCTATAATCTCAGCTGGAGTTGGTGAAGTCGATGGAGCTACCTTAGCAGCTATAACCTCAGATGGATCTGGCAATGCTGAAGGACTCATCTCATCAAGTGTTAATTGCGTTGGCAGCAGTGATTCTGGTGCCACTTCTGGTGTCTGTTCAACAAATTCTTTATCAGCATCAACTGCATCAGTGACTTCTGCGGTTTTCATTAGGACTGTAGGAGTTGGCAAAGAATCCAGTTGTGAAACGTGTTGATCAGAGTCCTTATGGTTTTCAATTACATTTTTACACTTATCCTCAATTGTCCATCCAACCGGTCCACCAGTCAGATTCGGCTGATCGTCAAGAGTCATTAAATCTTTGGTTTCCTTGCTAGTTTCCGTAAATTTGATGTTATCCTTTTCCTCGTTCTGTTCAGAAAAATTAGGCCCAGAAAACGTAATAATCCTGCTTTCATCACTGTCGACAATGGGTTGTGGGAAATTCTGATTATGATTCAAATCGGATTGCTGAATAGTATCCACTTCTTCTGCACTTAATTTTATTGAATTCAGTGTACTATTTACAAGTTTACAAGCTTCTTCTTCGAATTTTTTATCGTTATATTCATCACTTTCGGGTTCCATAAATACTGAAAAAAAAGCAAATCAATTTGAGAAGAAAAGCAATTAACCCGCAAATAATACCCGAAAATAGTAACAAAGATTGAAATTTTTTAAAATTGGAATAACAGAATTGCTAAAAAAAATGTCGTTGTCGTCTTCGCCTTCACTATCACCGTTAATGGCAGCAGCAGCAACAGCAACAGCAAACAACAACAAAAACAACAAGAAATTACCTTAGACGACAACTGAATAGTTGACAAATGGGTTGTTTCAAAAAAAAAAAAAAAA